GGGGAAAGGAAGATTACAGACACATGGCGTGGAAAACACATCACCGCGATCCTGCTCATTTCCATCCAGCCATGAAGTGTAATAATTCCATGGGACCAAGAGTACCTGACTCTTTAGTACAGTGAATGGAAGCCTTCAGTAGAGGCGGCCAACAAGAGGAAAAACGCGGTACTGAGCATAGACCAAAATAATACTGAGCAGATAGATACCCCCACCAAAAAATTGAAATCTGCTGATACTGTGTTAGAAAGAGTGGCACCAACCCCTAGAGCTGCTCGAACCCGATCACGTGGTCTAATCTGGGACTCTCAGAACTGGAGCTGTACTTACGACGCCACTTTCACAATTCTTCTAGGAAATAAATTTCTTGAAGATGCCGCACGTTGGGAAGTATGAGAGGTCTTGGACCAATTCTAACTGAATTTGCTGCAACCATGAGACGTTTTTCAGCCGGTGCGATGACTTTCGAACAAGTCAGAGACAAATTAAGACGAAAATTTCACTTATCAGATCCTGCAGCTTTTCTGTATGGCCCTAATACCACGACTATAGACAAGATAGCTCGTGCAATCTTGGATGAAAAATGCTACGGGACAGGTCGCCAGATATGCATGGTATGCGGATACGTAGACAGCCGTTCGTATGGTATGCTCGAATGCTATCTGTCTGCTGGTTTAAACAGTAGAATTATTCTAGTAGAATAAATACTGCCGACAGCGTACTGCTTCAGAATTGGCTCCAAGATTATTTGACTCGTGGCAAGAGTGTTTGTGGACAATGCAGACTTGACGACGTCAGATGCAAAATGGTTATAAGGACCAAAGTCACACCTTTACCGCCACTACTGGTGTTTGCCATCAACAGTGACAGGTTGCTATTCAATCATGAATTAGAGATAGATTGCAGTGGTTATCTTGGAAAACTTAAATTAAGGGGGATCATATACGGGGGTCAAAGCCATTCCACTTGCAGATTTATAGACGACCGCGGAGACATGTGGTTCCATGACGGCATAACTACCGGTGCTAATTGCTTGCCAGAGGTCGTTCCAAACCTTATCGATCTTCACACTTACGGCCAAAAGAAAGCAGTGGTCGTGATATACACCAGATACTGTACAGTTTCATTCGATTCTCCGCAGCTGTGACCTGTGACCCGTACATACGAACTTGAGTTTTCAACTGTCCTGACTGTGACAGAAGAAAAAATCATAAATCCCGGCATTCTTAGAAAAGCAGTTTTAGCCGTAGAACTAGTCTTAAAGTCGGGACGGGTTGGTAATTTATGCCAAGAAAACACCTAGATCAATCACCAGATTATACAAGTCCTTCTTGGCACCATTCCCGCAGCTCTCGCCGCAACGGGCGTTCTTCCCGAGGTCCTCAAGGTCCTACATCTGCCAGAAAAGCTCTCGTTACCCCCTCGACAAGCAGAACGCGCAGTGTGGGCGAAAATTCGATTTTTGGGCCATTTTTCGCGACTTTGTGACTTTTTTTGGCACATTCGAATATCCCCTCGGTGACCTGTGACAGGCTCGAAAATATTCGTAAATTTTAGGCCCTGTGACGCATGACATCCGAATTGAATGAACCTTTACAGTATATCAGAGTCGGGTAAGCGAAGATCATGTGTCATGGTGGACATTGCCGAGAATTGACGCGATAAATGATTCGAGTTTGAATCAGCGACGATTGATGCGAATTTGGATCAGCAAAAATTGATGCGAGAGACTTGGTGCGAAACAGCGAGGATTTATTTAAAATTAGCAACAGACACCAACGACGACAAAGCCGCGCAGCGAACCGAACTCGTACTGCCATGCGAAGCAATGGCCCTAAAGCCCACGTATAAACCTGCTGATGCAAGCCAGGTGTGTCTGCGGTGATATTTAATTCTCGAAACTTCGCAAATAAATGCAGACGCGCACCCCGTGAAACAGGGCCTTATTTCCTTACTTCTTGTCAAGAATAACTGGCGTGGAATCTGGCGATGACTTTCCCCACAAGGCAAACAAAAAACATATTACACGGAACCCCAAGACCCAGCCTGGAGTCGAACCAGGGTCTTCTGCTTTAACCTTAGTGCCGTCTCAACGAATGAAGCAATTGGGCAAAAAAACATCTCAATCTGGGGTTAAGACCCAGCCTGGGGTCGAACCAGGTCCTTCTGTTCATTTGATGGATATGGTATACGGAAAGCGGATGCATACCGAGTGCTACTGGGTCTTATTTACCCAACTTATGTTCCGGCATAAATAGGTCAAAACGGCCGATGAATTGTGAAAAAGCAGCTACCGTGGCATTTGAATGACCCAGCCTGGATTCGAACCAGGTCCTTCTGCTGCAATACATCTGATTCGCTCAGCACATGAAAGGCAGGTGCACACCCCGTGCAACCGGTCTTATTTACCCCAATTATGTTCCGATACAACTAGGGTAAAATTGAGCCGATGACTTGTGCAAAAAGAAACTCGTTGCTGCATTGTTATGACCCAGCCTGGAGTCGAACCAGTTGTCTGCTGTAATGTGGCGTGATGAACTCTGTACTGAAAGCAGATGCACCCCGTGCAATCGGGTCTTATTCCCTGCCTTTGGATATTCTACCAGATATGTATGTTGACGGCAGGGCAACGGAAAAAAGTTGAATTCATAACATGACCCAGCCTGGAGTCGAACCAGATCTATCCGCAGTAATATTGTGTTAGCCTCAAATTAATGAGGGCAGATACACACCGAGTGCCACTGGGTCTTATTCCCTCATTTTTGTCACAGTATGAGTGCGTGAAAAAAAACCGGGTGACCGGCATGGAGAAAAAAAGACTACGCCCAATGGTACATGACCCAGCCTGGAATCGAACCAGGCCCTTCTGCCAGATGTTGACACACTGGCACGCTTACCGAAAGCAGATGCACACCAAATGCCACTGGGTCTTATTTCCCATACTTCTAGTCCAGTATGAGTGGGTGAAAAAAAAATGTGGGTGACCGGCATGGAGAAAAAAAGATTGAATGCCCAATGGTGCACGACCCAGCCTGGAGTCGAACCAGTTGCCTGCTGTAATTTGACGTGAGGTTCCCAACACTGAAAGCAGATGCACACCGAGTGCTACTGGGTCTTATTTACCCAACTCATGTTCCAGTATAAATAGGTCAAAACTGGCCGATGAATTGTGAAAAAAGCAGCTACTGGCATTTGAATGACCCAGCCTGGAGTCGAACCAGTTGTCTGCTGTAATTTAACGTGAATAACGGCGCACTGAAATCAGATGCACACCAAGTGCTACCGGGTCTTGTTTCCCTCACTTCTGTTACAATATGAGTGAGTGAAGAAAGACCGGGTGACCGGCATGGAGAAAAAATATTACGCTCAATGGTGCATGACCCAGCCTGGAATCGAACCAGGTCCATCTGCTGTAACTTCTGACATTGCCCGGGGAAAATGAAGGCAGATACACACCCCGTGCAACCGGGTCTTCTTTACGCTACTTCGGGTCCAGCATTACTAGCGTAGAATCAGGGAATGAATCGTGCAAAAAGGCAAAGAATCACCACATCCACGCGAAGACCCCGCCTGGATTCGAACCAGGTTCCTTCTGCTATAACTTTTGAGTAGCAAATGAAAGCAGATGCACACCCTGTGCAACTGGGTTTTATTTCTGGTGCTTCGGTTCGAGTGCAAGTGAATGAACAATCGGTGACTGGCATCAGACAAAACGGATCGCACCTCCAACTACTTATGATCCAGCCTGCAGCTCCCAAAAAGAAAAGTATTTGTTGGATTTCCACCTGGAAGTCCAGCGTGTGGATCACATGATCGTGTCGCGTGCTTTAGGTACGCGTCGATCGGCACTTATACCTCAGTCTTTGCTTTGCACTTTGACTGAGGTAAAGTGGTCGCTATGAATCTCGGACGTCTCGCTTATGTATCATCTAGATATTCCGTGTCTAGGTACACTATACTTATATACAGTCTTTGCTTTGCACTTTGACTGAGATATTCCGTGTCTAGTTTCTACAGTATTCATCAGGTTCGTCTGCTGCAATCGTTTTCTCAAAACACGTACAATGAGGGCAGATATAAATCAAGGGCTACTGAGTCTTTTTTACTCTACTTCTATTCCATAATAACTGGGCAATTATTTGGGAAAAAAACAATCGAAGTCCGGATAGGACCCAGCCTGGAGTCGAACCAGCCGTCTGCAGTAATTTGGCATCAGATTCCATTGAGCGCAAGAGCCCACCAAGTGCTACTGGGTCTTATTTACCCAGCTGCTGCTCCAGTATAACCAGGGTAAAATTGGCCAATTATCTGGAATCGAACCAGATCCTTCTGCTTGAGGTCATTAAAGAGATCCAAACAAAGGCAGATGCACACCAAGTGTTACTGGGTCTCATTCCCTCCAGTTTTATCCTCTACAAAATACGTACATTACATGGAACGCGAAACAAAAAAAGAACTATATTTAAACACCGGCATGACCCAGCCTGGAATTGAACCAGGTCCTTCTGCTGCAACACTGTCACAAGCCAATGAAAGCAGATGCACACCTCGTGCAACCGGGTCTTACTTCCCTCAATTGAGCTACGACATGGAATCGGCGGATGAATTGGGCAAAAAAACAAGATACCAGTCTATGACCCATCCTGGAGTCGAACCAGTCTTCTGCTGTTCCGTCTGTGTACCTGGACTGAGAGCAGATGCACACCACGTGCCACTGAGTCTTATTTCCCTACTTGAAGCTTCTGTTACAGTATGAGTGGGTAAAAAAAACTGAGTGACCGGCATGGAGAAAAAAGATTGAATGCCCAATGGTGCATGACCCAGCCTGGAATAGAACCAGGTCCTTCTGTGTCAATACTTATCACATATCCGGTGCAGAGAAGGCAGATGCACACCAAGTGCTACTGGGTCTTGTTTCCCTAACTTCTGTTACAATATGAGTGGGTGAAGCAAAATAGGGTTGACTAGTGTGATGCAAAAAGGGAGATGACTTTCTTTTATGACCCAGCCTGGAGTCGAACCAGGTCCTTCTGCTGCAATTCTCGAGTCGACAAATGAAAGCAGATGCACACCTTGTGCAACTGGGCCTTATTCCCTCATTTCTGTTATAGTATGAGTGCGTGAAAAAAACCGGGTGACCGGCATGGAGAAAAAATATTGAACGCCCAATGGTACATGACCCAGCCTGGAATCGAACCAGGTCCTTCTGCTTTAACTTCTGGCATCACCACAAATGAATGAAGGCAGATGCACACCTCGGGCAACCGGGTCTTATTCCCTCAAATGTGTTCCATAATAACTGGGTTCAAATCAGGGAATGAATTGAATTGGCAAAAACACCACAGATTGATTTTATGACCAAGCCTGGAGTCGAACCAAGTTATTCCGCAGCAAGTTGGTTCTGGAGAGTTGCTACTGAGTGCGGACGCACCCTGAGTAACCGGGTCTTATTACCTGACTTCTGTTACAGTATGAGTGAGTGAAAAAAAAATGTGGGCGACTGGGATTGAGCAAACATAATCACTGATACTGTTATACGACCCAGCCTGGAGTCGAACCAGGTCTGTCCACTTAAATTTGATTGACAGATCCCACAGCAAAAGCAGATGCACACCTCTTGCGACTGGGTCTTATTTCCCATACTTCTAGTCTAGTATACCGAGGTCAAAACCAGCCAATGCTTTAGAAAAAAAACATGCCCAGACAGACGATTCCGGTTCTCACACGGTTATTCAGCATTTTTTTTAATTCGTAGGACCGCTTTCAAAATCGGGTCAGTCAAAATTGACGGTCGGTTCTCACATGGTTCTGATGAAAATATTTTCCAAAACCGTTTTGCAGAACCGACTGCAACACCGCCCGAAAGCCTCTTCTCTGACCGATGGATGAGCTGTGCCTACGCGGGGTTGGAAGAGGTCGGACAAAGTAGTCAGACGTCACGGTAGGCAGTGCCGTAAGCCAAGCTCGGTGAACGTAGTCAAACCCTGAGGATATATAAGAAGCGGCCACTCGACCGATTTAGAACAGCAGCACTTCAAATAAATGGCGGCTCAGAGTCGCCTTTGAAGTGTGGGAGAGCCGTTCTTTATGCAAAGGCGGCACTTGCTATTCGGCGACGCCCCAACGACGCGCATGTCGCCACTGGTTGTGAAGGAGGCTGTGCACCCTGTTCTTTCTTCCTCCAACATCGCACATTCGCCCCCACGGCTCACGACATTGTAGCGCGACGATGCCGACACAACACTCCCGTACCGATGTCGAGCTCATTGACGGGCTGCCGTCGCATGTCTTGACAGATTTCCGTGAGGCCTACGCGTCTCATCTGGCTTTCGCTGACAAGATGTTCTTACCGGCCTACATCTGACGAGGGAGCGTGGGCGGGGGTTGCGAGGAATCGCAAGCGGGCGCTCGGGCCATCCAAAAAGCTGAGCACACACGTTACATCTACGAATTAATCAGACCACACAGAGGGCCTCCGCTGCCCAACTTCCGCGCACGCACTCTCCGAATTCGCTGCGCTCCAGTTCTGCCAAGAGACCGGTGAGTACCAAGAAACTGCGTGCGGAATCCTTCACCTACCCACTCTGCAGAGCAACCTCGAGGAAATGAGGCGCAAACAAACAAACACCATTTCGTCGATTTTTGCAAGGTGCACGCGGGTCTCTGCTGGGATTTTGTCGAGACGCCACGCAGTCAATCAAGACTAGTAACCATCGTGAATACAGGAGGTTTTCTATGCTGAATTGAGAAAGACTCGTCGCCTCTGATCCCGAGATCCGCTGCAAGGGAGTAGCGCATCACAACGCAGTTATTCTCGCTGCTTTTTTTGCAAAGAACCGCAAAGTTAGTACCAGGACGAATCTCACAAAAGATGCTGTATGTACGTACCTAAATCACAATATAATTCAATTCCTGTGCAGTTCCGATGTGAGGCCCTCCACTAAGCAACTTGAACTCCTGCCAAAATTCACACTCAAGGTGAAAATCCTCGTTATGTTTAAAGTTGACTGAAGACGCAGCGTGCACATCTGCCATCTCTCGGTGAGGATTTCCGATGTGCCGCTCTTTAGTTCAATGGCGGCAGTCGAACCGCTGATGGCATGCGAAGTGCCGTCAACGCAGGAGGATGTAGCTTGACAAAAAGGTAGTATGAGCACAGATCACCACGTCCGACTTTAGGAGTAAGAATGGGGAGGGCCGGCGCCGAGAGGGTGACGGCGAACTCCCCAGCGGCGGCTGGGTCGAGAAGGAGCGCGTCATAGCAGACCGTCCACCACCGGCATATCCGGCCGGCCGTCTGCCTCTATTCCTGCCGCCGGAGACGCCACCTTATCGTCCCCTTCTTTCGACCTCCGCTTCGCTCCGGCGAGATACGAGTTCGGTACGAACGATTGGAACCGCGCCAGCACAGGCGACAGAAGAAAAGCACGCGCGCGGAAACATCTTGAAGGTCGATGTCGCCTTCGATTTGAAGTGCCGCTGTTCTAATTTGGGCAAGTGAGCCACTTCTCGTTGAAAACCCTTCAACTACAACGTCTGACTACGGCCGTAGTCAGAGGTAGTCCAAGCTCCGTGCATGTAATCAGATTCTGACTACGAGGGGCCTCAACGCAGTGAGTATTTATCGTGTATATTGAGCCAAGTGGCTTTTTCTGCATTTATCCTTGCTCAATGAATTTGGATTGATAGGATGCCACAATCGCGGTCGTTACCCGCTTGATATCATTTATAAATGCTCATTTTCGATAATTGAAGCAATCCGAAGGCTTGGTTGTGGATCCGGCATATCATGCTGGCCCCATTAAACTGTGTTCCGTCCTCATTAAAGAAACCGTTATTCTACCAGGTAAGCCAAGTCCCATGGCCATGGGGCGCCCTGCACTCAGCGAAATTGATTGTCCAACACATCTGAAGGAGGGAAGGGGGGAGGCGCAAGGATGGAAGGAAGGAAGGGAGGGAGGGGAGCGAGGATAGGACGATGAGGAGGGAGGGAGGGAGGGAGGGTGAGACGAGGAGGAGAGTGAACAAGGAGGAGGAAGGCTGCAGAGGAAAGGCAAATACTCAAATGGGGAGTGTGAAATGGAGGTTGGGCAGAGGAGTGCGGAGGGATGATCACAGCAAGGACAGTGCGAAGGAGCGTTAGACGGGGACGATCACAGCAAGGATGGAGCGAGCGTTAAAGGAGGATGAAGCGTGAAGGCGGTGGGCACCGAACACCCATGACAAACCAGACGAAAAAACGATGCTGATGCGGACGCGGAAGAAGTCGCGGTAAAATGGGGGAAAGAAACAAATAAAACTCACAATTCGCATTCATAAGCGCGTCCTTGGTCGCGCCATAGTACGCCCGCGAGAGCTTCAGGAAGCCACAGAGCGAGTCGATCTCGTACATGCTAGATAGACGGTTGGATGTGCGACAGCGAAGCGCGAAGTGATGTAGGTATAGGAATAGAATAGGGACAGGACACCGGGACTGGGACGCATGTACGGCAGCGCAAGCGGGCCACTCGACGGGTTTCCTTGCGGTTTCTACCCACGAACTGCTTTGGACGAAATGAAAGCAGATGCACACCCCGTGCAACCGGGTCTTATTTAGCCTACTTCTGTTCCAGTGAAACTGGGTTAAAATCGGTCGATTACTTGGGCACAAAGGCAAAGGCAAAAAAGAGATACCTTCAATGATTTCCATGACCCAGCCTGGAGTCGAACCAGGACCTGCTGCTTAAGCCTCCTCGAGAGGAATACGAAGGAAAGCAGATACACACCCCGCGCAACCGGGTATTATTCCCTTACTTCTGTTTCAGTATGAGTGGGTGAAATTCACCGATGATTTGGGCAAAAAGGAAGCTGTAGCAATTATTTGGTATGACCCAGTCTGGAGTCGAACCAGTCATCTGCTGTAATGTAACGTGGCGAGTTCAAACCGAAGAAGGCAGATGCACACCGAGTGCTACCAGGTTTGATTCCCTGCCTTTGAATATTCTGAAAGATATGCACCTCGCAGGTGAGGTGGGCAAAAATGTGTCAAAATCCCTGTAAGACCCAGCCTGGAATCGAACCAGGTACTTCTGCTTTATTTTCCCACAATCGCACTAATGAAAGCAGATGCACACCTCGTACAACCGGGTCTTATTCACTCACTTCTCTTACAGTATGAGTGGGCGAAAAATAGGGATTGCCTGGTTTGGGCTCTGGAGCAAAGAAAAAAAAAACTCCACCGTCCCGGAGAATGACCCAGCCTGGAATCGAACCAGGTTATTCCACAGTAATGTTGGAAAGTCTTGACGAAATGAAAGCAGATGCACACCTCGCGCAACCGGGTCTTATTCCCTTACTTCTGTTACAGTATGAGTGGGTGAAGCAAATAGGGTTGACTAGTGTGATGCAAAAAGGGAGATGATTTCCTTTTATGACCCAACCTGGAGTCGAACCAAGTCCTTCTGTGTTAATCTTATCACACATTCAGTGCAATGAAGGCAGATGCAGCCCGTGCAACCGGGTCCTGTTCACTGTTCTTTTGTCAGAGTATAACTAGGTTCAAATCAGGGACTAATTTGTGCAAAAGAGCAAAACTTATGGACGGTATCGAATGACCCAGCCTGGAGTCGAACCAGGTTCGTCTGTGTCAATATTATCACACATTCAGTGCAATGACGGCGGATGTACACTGCGTGCTACTGGGCCGCATTCCCTCAATTGTGTTATGGTATAAATGGCGTGGAATCAGCTGTTAACTTGGGCAAAAAGAAATTTATCGACTCTCAAACTATGACCCAGTCTGGAATCGAACCAGGTCCTTCTGTGTCAATACTTCGCCCATCCAATGTAATGAAGGCAGATGCACACCTCATGCAACTGGGTCTTATTTCCATACTTCTAGTCCAGTATAACCAGGGTTAAAATCGGCTGATGAATTGTGAAAAGGCAAAATGAAACTCGTCGCTACTTAGTTATGACCCAGCCTGGAGTCGAACCAGGTCCTTCTGCTGCAATTCTCGAGTCGACAAATGAAAGCAGATGCACACCGAGTGCAACCGGGTCTTTTTCCTGACTTCTGCTCCGATGTAAGTAGTGTGCAACCAACTGGC